AATCTTATGGCATCAGAGGTAGATACGGCCTACGTACTTGCGTCTTCGAGTTTGCTTTAGCCTAGCATTATCTGATGAGATGTAATTACCCCGAGGTTACTTAAAGAACTGTCACAAATGAATATTTTTTTATTTAAAGGAGATCTTTTTGTCAATTTTTTAATAGAACATACATAGGGACATACATAACGGGAAGAATGAGCAGAAGAAAAATATTAAAATTTAAAAGATTCCCAAAACAAATCCTAGGTTTGGGAACAACAGGAGAAATAACAATACATACAGGAGAAATTTTTTTTATTGTTACATTGCATGTTTACAATCTACTCTATACACAGAGTAATAAGTAAATAGTCTGTAAGTAAATAAATGTGAGTTAGGTACCGTCCACTGTCGGTTCTTTAAGTATACAGGAGAAATAACTATGAGAAAAATCGAAGAAAAATAGCGGAGGAAACAGATAACAAAGAGAAGAAACGTGAAAGAACCAAACCCTATGATAAGACAACTAAATTTCAAAGTTTTAATTCTGCTGTGATTCGAGTGTAGATCTCTTCACGACACGGATGAATTCTGTTTACTACGTCACCGTGAACACTCCACGATCTTGAGTAGTTATCTTTGTTTAAAAAATTGTTTTAGGTGTTTATACCGTGACATTTGAATAAAGAGGATCATCATTCAAAGTAAGTTTCTACATAAACGAATATATACTTCTATAATATATTTGGTAATTCCATCTAAATGGTAATCTATTTAGAATTGACAGCGAAACAGATATTGGTGAGGACAACTGTGCTCGAAGCACTTAGACGACAGTCACAACAGTCTCGGTCTATTAACAGACATTAAGGGAAATACTTCATGTACACATATAAATTTACCAATATGTATATAACACCAACATACATTTTTTGCTCTGAGATGAAGAGTTCATTAAGTCCTTACGCTTGAACTGAGCAACAAAATAAAACTTTATAAAATATGCTATTTGATCGACTTTTTGCTTCTCTTTAGTTCTAATATATAGGTGTTCAGCTTTGAACAGTTTTGTTTACATTATTCTTCCCTTAAATATCATGTTCTTTCTTTTCTCTCTAAAGTAATAACTTCCAGTTTTATCCTTTTCCCCACATAGCTTTTTGATTCAAACTCCAAATCCGTCATTAATTTTTATATATCTGTTGTAATTTTGGTTGCATTCGAGATCTTATAGAACAAGTAAAAAGAAAATACATTGTTCTCCAAGAATATCAAGAGGCAAGAATGCAAAAATATTCAAATTTGGGGCGAAGAAGGGTAAAATAAAAGAACAACCGACGAAAAAAATCGTCATTGACATGCGAAGTGATTGTAGAAGATAAACGTACACCAATTTCAAACAAAATCACATAGAAAGCCAAACTAAAAAGTGTTCCCAAGAGAATCAGGAAACAAACTGGCAAAAACGTTTTGGGTGAGATTTGAAGGGAAGAAAAGTAAGTTCAGGAAAAATTGATGGGAAGAGTATGGAAAACGAATGTTTGCAATTTCAACGATTATAGTTTCTAGAGAAGGTAATGATTGGTAATAAATCAAAAATATCAGTCCTACCAAACCTTTTTATTTGACTATGAGGTTAGCTGGTAGTGGTTGGTGTTGAATATCACTCTTATAGTTTCTTTTATATACAAGGTAATCGTTTAATTTATTTGTTGCGAGATTCTTTTCTGTTAAATTAGTATTTTAGGGTATCTAATACAAATATTACGGGTGGAATATTTGGTAATTCACTTATAGCTATACAAATTTATAAAAAGAGGAACACCTTGTTTACATTGGACGGTATCATCAAATATTATAAGTAAAAACGCATAACTATATGGTAAGAAAATCACTCGTCATTTTTAATATACATTATATACATTCACACTGAAAGCTACTAATCTATATTTAAATACAAAGTCTCCAAAAAATTTTACCAACGAGGCGTTAAAAAATCGATGTATTTGCCGCTCAATAAACCAGCAATATATCATGAAAATGTAGAAACATCTTAAAATAGGTAGTATTTTTTAACTTAATTCAAATCAAAAACTCGCATCTTGCGACAAAAATCCTTTATAATCAACTAACACACATAAACTTCTACCAAAAAAACATCTTAATTTTCATATAAAATTCAAATAGCTTACTTACTTCCATAATGTAGATAAGTTATCTAATAACTAAATAATTACCCACCGAACGAGACAACCAGGTAACCAGTCAAATGATAAATATAGGTCACTAGTGTCATTACAATGTTAAATTACTATTCACACAACAAAGACACATAAAGAATACAGATTTTATATCACTAATATTTTGGAAGATAATACTAATAAAACCTATGTAAGTTTTTTGTTTAAATTACTCTCTCTCTCTCTCTCCAATGGCGCTACAGCCCAAATCGAGCCTTGACCTTCTCTAAACTATGCCTCCAACTATGTCTACCAAATTTTGCGCCGTCGCTGCCACTTCATCCTCCCAACTTTTCCATGGCCTTTTTTTGGGTCTATTAATTAATTTGTTCGTGTTCCCCAATGTTCCCAATGTTCGATTTATTTAGAATTTGTTTTACTTTGATTAGCTTTAGCCTGTGAATAATTACTACTAAAAATAAAATTCTTGACTTTACACCGGACCGATTTATAAAGTTCCTCTTCTTTTATGAACATAATATTCTCTAGATTTCTTACTCGTATGTTCATCATATAGTAACTTCTTTACGGTTACTATAAATTAAGTTTGTAGTTCCGAGTCAATTTCTATCCTACGCCAGCATTATCTCCAAATAGTTAATAAAATATACTTTGAAAGTTATAGAACTATCTTTTTCTAGTGCCTATCCGTTATCAAATGTTGGCAATAGTTCTGGAAATGATAATTTCACAATCAAACATATTATCAAATGACACATGAAAACATTAGTAAGAGGTTGACGACGAAGTGAAAGAGAACAATCCAAAATCCAAAAATGTGACAGGACGGATTTTCAGCAGAATCCAAATGATGAGATATAAATAAAAAACAGATGAATAAACTACCTATCCCATAACGTTCTTTTTTAAATCTGAAAATTGCAAATCACATCGTTTTCTAACACCCATTTTCTCTCGATTTTTGACTAGTTTCCTGCCTACTTTACTCTGAAAGAATCTGGCATTTAAATGTTGCTCTAGTCAAAATAGACATAAATATTTTAACATGGGAAATACTTACGCACAGCAAGTAATTGGTACATGCCTTGAATAGATTCTTAAAACTAAAATGTAATTTTTCTTTTAATGACTTTTCATAGTAATAAGGCACTTATTGGACACACACATCCAAAACTATGAAGATGCTAAATAGCCTTACGATCCTACACTACAATTCATCATCTACATATAAGGCTTGCTATTGAACTTTTGCCATCATATAAAACTATCTAATTTTTTCTATCTAATTAAGTGAAATGTCTATTTTGACTGGACCATGTAAAGTAACTGAGGAAGTCATCATAACATTGAGCAGCGTGATTTTAGTATTTACACGAAATCATTTAGGTATTCACAATGCCACAACTTTTAAGACACTATAATATATACAATAAAAACTTAATACTATCAAAGTTATAACCATTTTAGATTCTCTTTACGTAAAAAATTGTTTTTTACATTCTGAATAAAATTATGCTTCTTAACTATTTAATGGAATGATAAAAGTATGTGTGGGTTCAGAAATAAATAAATTAATATCTTTTCATTTCCAGTTACATTTTTTGAGTGTAAAAATCTTAAAAGATTTTATTAATTCTCTCATTATCTATTCGATACTACTGTTTGTAAAGATTAATAAAGTGTTTTAACATTACAAACTTCAAATAAAAAGTAGAAAAAATATAGAAAGCAGCAAAAACATTTGGAGATTAAGTAAACTGAAATTCGGATATAAAAAATCTAAAAGAAAACCAAAAGATATTTGAGAAACTCATGAAATGTTCAAAAAGTAGTCACCTGAAAGACAGAGAAATATGAAAGGATCACTTTAGAGAGTAAGATTAATAATTAATAAAAATATAAAGCAAAATGATGTAACATATATACTTAAAAACCACTTGGTGAGATATCTAAGTAATTTCTTAATGGAGATTTTAAAATGATATGCACAGAATAAGAAGAAGGAACAAAGCAGAATCATGAAATTAAGAATGACATAATGTATGGTATGTTATCCTTGTATCAAGAACATGACGCTTATAAAAATAAAAACAAAAAAGGGAAAGAAAAAACAACAGAAGAAACTGTATACATTTGTGTTAACACGAGTACAGACTCTACATAACTTAAAACTATAGGTGTTGTTAATGAGAGAATCCAATGATTATTTAAAAGAGTTACTTCTATCAATAGAAATTGAGCCTTTTATCTATTTTTGAACACACTGTTATATAAAAATCTACAGTGTACGATGAAGTGTAGATTTAAATATATTTTTGGAATCATGTAAAAATAAATACAAAAAATCGTTTAGAAATATAATACTCTTATTGCACTATGGTATAATAATTTGATCTTGTATTTTAGCAAAAAGTATTAAAATATGATGACCGCAAGTTAAGGTTTATATGTTAAGACTTACAAGAAAAAATATACACGATATAAAAAAGATTCCACTTTTTAATTCAATATGTATATATGTATATACATATAAAAAAAATATTTATGCAACTAGTACATACAATACCGATTGAAAATCAGAAGAATGAAAAGATAGACTTTCCGTCCCTAATCGTATGTTTTATAACTCTTAAATACTGAAATTACAAAAAAGTACAGATGTTAACGAAGTGCAACGGATCTTAAGGAAAACTTTATATATTTTGGTACAATTCCTTTTTTTTTTAAACAAGTTAAATAACAGCATTCATTTCTAAAAAGTGGAAAAATATAAAATTGTAGTAGGATACTTTACGCAATCTTCTACACATATTAAGTTTACGACGTTGTAAAAGCTTGCCGACCGATGACGTTAACCATCCACGATCTCAGACTTGGATTAACAGCTGTATATATAGCTGGGTGTTTGTTAATGTTTCCGCAGTTGCCGTGATGACTGAGCAAACCATGAAGTTCCCAGATAGCGGCTTTGTCGGAGAAGCACATCAGAGGTGCTCCTTCGTCATTCTGGAAAAGAAAAAATATGCCGTTTAAAAAATGATATTAAAAATCCTTCAAATTGTATATATATATATATATATATAATATATATATATACATATATATATATATATATATATATATATATATATATATATATATATTATCATTTTTTTATTATTAAGTCTTTTAAAAAAATTGGCAATAATATTGTCAAAAATAAATTGCACTATTATAAACTAATTCTCACTCAAGGTTGGCATTAGTGACATTAACGGTTATTTGTACTTCCTATTGGTTGCTAATTTAACTTGTTTATTATTTATCACCATTAAATTTTTTTATATAATTTTTTCATTTAATTAAAAAAAGGGGAAACATTTATGAGACCAAATTATTTTTAATTCTAATGTTTATCTTAATAAAGTTTATTTAAATTGGCAGCAGTTTCATTAACCAACCTAAGTTTATCTAGTGAGTTACTATCTTTTTTGCAATTATTTGTTCTACTCAGATAATCATTATATCAGATATCAGATAATTTTTATTTTAGCTGTTGAAAATAATTGTAACCACATTTGAAAGCTTGAGTGATTAAAGAATAGTGTTAGTGTTCTAACAGCCTCTTTTATTGACTCGAATCCAGCCAAACTTGGTTTTGTTTCTTCCAAACGAGTCAACAAGTACTTCTGATATATATATATATATATATATATATATATATATATATATATATATATATATGTGTGTGTGATATATATATATATATATATATATATATATATATATATATATATATATATATATATATATATATATATCACTCTGGCAAAAAATTTTCAGTCAGTAGTGTCACACGTTTCGTGTATGAGGATCATCAGTATGTTATTCCAGCTTTGCGGTAAGCAGGAATAATTTAGGCATAAATTGAAGAGATTTTTTATCGATTCTAATAAGTTGCGATTTCTAATTTTTGTTGATTCTGTGACTATATATGATCTGCGCTTGGAGATAAAGTATTTTTCATCTAGTATTATTTTTTTAATATTGTTTATTATGATCTAGTAAAGTCCCACCGATCCTTGATTTATTAGGCCTATTTGTTTCCTAATCTCTTTTCGTTCTTGTTTCAATTTATGTTTGCTTCAGTATAGCTTCGTACAAAATTGTTCTATTATCTGCACTAATTCTTCTCTATTGGTCGATTCTTTGCCATGTTTATGCTTAAGTCATTGATCAGTTTTCTTCTCTAGACCTTCAAACTTTTATTTTCTATTAATTTTTATTATTATTATTATTGTTTTCTTGATCATTTCGTCATTTTTTAAAAAATAGTTTCTTATATTTTTTTAAGTAATTTATTTAATTTTCCCACGTCTTGTTGGTTTAAGTTATATTGCGGTAAAATTTATTTTCGGTTGTTAATTAATTGTTGAGTATGTTGGCCTAACTTAGTACCCTTTTTGTATTTACGATGGAGCTTAGGTACTTTCTGAGGGATTTAGTAATTTGTTCATTGAGTTTTTTATGCTGTCCCTCTGTGTATATTTATTTAGAAACTTGATATTTATCGAGATTTCCTGGAATGTGCTATATGTTCTTTTTTATTTTTTCTTAATCTGTATCTTTCGTGACCTAGGCTTTTACCGTTCTATGATTGTTTCCAATGTTTATTTGATCTAAAATCGTTACGTCATGCACTACGTATTTCTTATCTGCTACGCTAGAAGCAATGTTGTTCTTTTTGCAATGTTTTTCTATCAAGACTTATTCACGCTCACCTTCGATTTGGTTTCTTATAGAAGAAGCTGTGATATCCCAATTTACTTTTTCAAATTTCTTTTCCAGTTCTATTCGACTATTCGACTTCAGTTGCTACTAACATGGTGAACTGTCGCTGATATTAGCAGCACGCTTCGGATCAGACACTAACGATTGATTTTATATTAGTCCAAAATCGTGGTGAATTCGATAAATATTATTTGTATTTAATTTTTATTCGTTTTTATTGCGTATAATCCATGTGGAAATGAGTTAACATGGCCCAAAATAGTTTTTTTGGTACTCTCCCTTAGTATGTCGATAATGTTATCAGTGAATATACTATCTATCTATCTAATTAGCCTTCTTCGGTCCATCTTTGGACATAGGCCTCCCCAATCCTTTTCCATTCTTCTCTGTCTGTCGCTACAGTCATCCATCTAGAGCCCACGTGCTTCTTGATATCATCTGCCCATCTGATTTGGGGCCTTCCTCTGCTTCGTTTATATTCCCACGGTCTCCAACTTATAAGAATTTTGTTCCATCGGTCTTCTTTTTGTCTTATATTGTGTCCGGCAAATCTCCATTTCAATTTTGCAACTTCTTGTCTAACATCCCTTACTTTTGTTTTCTCTCTTATCCACTCGTTTCTCTTCTTATCCATTAGTCTTATGTGCAATATTTGTCTTTCCATTGCTCTTTGGGTTTTTATGATTTTGTCCATGTTTGCTTTTGTAGATGTCCACGTTTGGGAACCATAAGTAAGAACAGGGAGTACGCATTGATTATATACTTTGGTCTTAAGATGCTGTGGATATCTTTTGTTTTTAAGAATGTAGCTTATTTTGCCAAATGCCAAAAGTGAATATACACTTCCAGCAATTTAAGGGCGTGTTTTTTATTTTGATGTGGCTGGTGGATACATTTCCAAACCAAAATTAACGATGATAAAACAAAAACAAATTTACTATTTGCATCGACTAGTATTACTCAGATCATAGGATGTGTCTCATTCATACTCGTAGTGTATCTCACAAATCAAAATTCAAAATATCTTTATTCAATGTTTAAACCATCGAATCAAAGTTTTAAATATCTTATCAACCTTTTTTATTTTAATTTTTGTAATTAATTTGTTGAAACAATAATTACTTTTTTTTATTTTTTTTTTTAATTATTTTCTTCTGGCATTTTATTTTGTATCAATTTTAAAAAGTGAGTCATAAACAAGGTGGGACAAATAATTGTAACTATGGCAAAAATAATAAGACTTTACTTAACAATTACGATTATAAGGCCCTTCCATGCCTAGTAAGAAAACCTGTTATGACTTTAAGTTGATTACTGTTTGTTTTCCTAAGTCCTTCCAGAATTAGCGCATGTCCGTTCGATATAAATTTTGCCATTTGCTGTGTTTGGATCCAGGCTTGTTTCCGGTAGCGGGCAGTGATTTTTTTGTAGCTGATCCTCTTCTACAAGTTAATCAGTTCTTTATTTGCCGTGTGTTCCCTAATATATCAGTGTGACACTATGTGAAACTTAGGGAGACTATTAGAGACGATGTTGCCGACATATTATACTTGATAGGGTGAGGAACGTAGACATTAGGAGAGAAATGGAAATTAACCTAGACATAATAGATACTATCGAAGCCAAAAGACTAAACGTATAGATACCTGCAGAGAATGCCTGAAAATAGATGACCAAAAAAGATATAAAAATGGACTCCGCTCTTAAGAAGGAAACGAGATAGACCAAGATGGTCATGGAGAGATGTCGAAGATGCAATGACCGGCAGAGATTTAAAAACTGAAGATCGCTTCAACAGAAAACGCTGGAAATTAGGATGAGAGAAACGGCGCGCTGTAAAGGTATATATATATATATATATATATATATATATATATATATATATATATATATATATATATATATATATATATATATATCGGAAAAAGGAGTACGACCGTCAATCCAATATATATATATAAGGATCACTCAGACGAGTGGTGGGTTCTTATATCGGTCTCTAGGTGGAGAAATAAAAGACAAAGTTGATAGGCTACTTTATCTATTTTGAAGACGTTTCGCTTTCGAGTTTTGAAAGCATCATCAGTTCATCTAAAAAATTATTACAATATGAGAACCACACAATCATGGAAACGATGTTAATTGTTACCTTAAAAAGATATGTAGCAGTCAATGTTATTAACAAATATGTGAATGAAACTAAGTAAAAGGACATAGTACGCTGATCTTGTATAAACAGTTGCTTAACTGTTTATACAAGATCAGCGTACTATGTCCTTTTACTTAGTTTCATTCACATATTTGTTAATAACATTGACTGCTACATATCTTTTTAAGGTAACAATTAACATCGTTTCCATGATTGTGTGGTTCTCATATTGTAATAATTTTTTAGATGAACTGATGATGCTTTCAAAACTCGAAAGCGAAACGTCTTCAAAATATATATATATATATATATATATATATATATATATATATATATAAATCAAAGATGCACATTGTTAATTGTAGTTAGTTCAATTTATTGTTTATACATCATAATCGTATAATGTTCATTTACTTATACTTGTTTACATTTTTTAATATCAGTGACTGCTACATATCTTTTTAAGGTAACACATGTAACAACTTTTACATGCTTGTGTGGTTTTTTTCATATTGTTCTTTTTAGACGAACTGATGATGCTTTCTGATTAAGAAAGCGAAACGTCTTCAATAAATAGATGAAGTAGCCATCATCTTTGTCTTTTTTCTTCACCTTTTGACCGAAAAAAAAAACCCATCACTCATCTGAGTGATCCTTAATATATATTGGATTGACGGTGGTACTCCTTTTCTCGATATATATATATATATATATATATATATATATATATATATATATATACATATATAAATATATACATATATATATACATATATATATATATATATATATATTACAGTGTGTAAAAGCCAAATGGAATAAATTCATTATTTAGGTTACTGTACATATTTTTATAAAAAAATCCCGAAACACGTCAAATTTAAATTATAACTTGATATTCTTAAACGTGAAAATTCAACCCCTATCTTCAACCCCCTTAGAATGACAGGTACCACCCCCAATTTTTAAAATAGGAAGTATAGGCTTGTGATATATCGTTTGATAGGTCTTTTCATTCTCCATTAAAAATGTTGTCGCTTTCAAGTTTATTAAAATTAATTAAGGTAAAATAAATTTAAATCATGTG